AGCCTGGATTGGGGGGGGGCTGGCCGATGGGGGCAGCAAGCCTTGCTGGGGGGGGGAAAGCCTCCCCCCCAACTCTTTGCCTTCCCTTTTCTCTCTCTCTCTCCTTCCTTCTTTCCATCCCTCTTTCCTTCTCTCTCTCTCCTTCCTTCTTTCCATCCCTCTTTCCTTCTCTCTCTCTCCTTTCTTTCTTTGCAGATCTGTGGTTCCCCCCCCCCATCTACCAAGCCAAAACAGTCCACTGCAATGCTCCCTCTAAGCAGTGCGGTCTTGTGAGCAAGAGTTCTACTTTGTGTGCTACTGCCATTAAAGTTGTGAGCAAGTAATTTGCTGACTGCATAAATGAGTTTGCTCTAGAGCCCTCCTTGCTGAGCTAAGACAAAAATGTGAAAGCTGGAGGCTAAAAAACTTTGAGCTACTTCGGCCCGAGCGCAGCTGGAATGGGTGGCAAGCGGGTGTCCCTGCCTCGCCGCTGCTCCATCGCCACGTGTGCCGCTCGCTCGCTTACTTGGGCGGCCGGTGGGGAGAGGGGCCAGGCCGGCAGCCTTGTCATGCCGGGCCCTTGGCCGGGCAGGTGGGGAGATATGCCAGGCTGGCCGGCTTGGCCTGCTGCCCCCTCAGCGGGTAGGGGGAGCGCAAGCCCACTGAGACCTCAGCCGGCGAGAGAAAAACCTAGCCTGGCTGGATTGGCCTGCCACCCCCTCAGAGGCACTGGGGGGGGAGGAGCTGCTGGGAGGGAGCCCTGACTGCCGCCGCTGCCACCAGGCGCTGGTTCCGACAGCCTTGTACCCCCGGGGACTCAGATGAATGGGGGAGGGGGCAGGGACCCGTAGCCAGGCGCCCAAACTAGTGTTCGTTGTCTTCGTTCCTACAACGGGCCTGATTCCTAGTAAACTTTATAAAGGACACAAATAGAAATGGTTTTTTTTTTACTTAAAATAAAATCATGCTTAAAAATTTAGCACTCTTGCAGTATTTTGTTTAACAGTGTCTGATAACTGACACCTCTTGCTCTAAATTATTGCATCAAAATGTCTGTGCAAACCTATGATAGCACAGCAGCAGCAGAACTGGAAGAAGAAGCAGAAGACAGCCAGTTCCACTGCAGGCCTGATAGAAGTCCTCCGGGGGCCTGATCCGGCCCTTGGGCCGCATGTTTGACACCCCTAATTTAAAGGGCCCCCTTAAATGCTGTTGGGAAGAGGCAGGGCCTAATGCCTGCACTCCAAGCCACAAATTCGCAGCTTGGAGTGCAGCATGGGGGGCCCTTTTAAATGCTTTTGGCAAGAAGCAGGGGGCGCTCGTCTCCAATGTGATGATGTCACTTCTGCCTGACATCATCATGTTAGGCACATTCCGGCCCCTCCAATAGCATCCCCCAAAGTCCCCCGCCTGGGGACTTCAAAGGACCTGGCAACCCTAGAAAAGAGCAAGACCCAACATGATATGGATTGACTCAATCAAGGAAGCCACAGCCCTCAGTTTGCAAGACCCAGCAAGGCTATTAACAACAGGTTGTTTTGGATGTTAGTAATTCACAGCATTACCATGAATCAGAAGTGACTTGACAACACTTAACACATATGCACAGTTGTCACTTTGGCAGCCTTTTGAGGTGGTGCCCCTATTCTTTCTCAGAATTTCCAGAGCGTCCACAGGCTTAACAAGGTTGAGGACCACTAGTCTAATCATGACAAAAAATAATCATGGCACCAATCAAAGTGGGTATAATGACTCCACTACCTGACATGATTCTGTTATTGATACTGTCCAGTGATAGCGCTGGTTCCTGGTTCCACAGAGTTCCTTGTCGCAAACATGGACTTCCCAGGAGTCAGTCAGTCAGTTTATTCAGTATAAAACCAGCACAAATCAATTACAATCAATTATTCAGTATAAAACCAGCACAAATCTATTACAATTACCTAAATAATGTCAATACAAAGAAAGGTACTAATAAAATATATAAAATATCAAATGTTTAAATATAAACTGTATTTAGTTACAAAACTGCTAAAACTCTTAAGTTTCTACAATACTCCAGCAACTGTTGAATAAGAGTTATTCAATAAGTGTTATAAGGGTTAGACAATTCTACTCTGCATCCCCTAAGCCTTCTAGATTATTTCTAAGATTGTTCTACACGTGTAACACATATTTTTTGAGCTATTGCTAGGAATTTAGCACAGTTTATTATGAGCTGTGGGGCAGGATCGAATAATAGTTTCCTACTTATCTCCTTATCTGGATATCCATGATACCTCCTCAGGATAGGATGGATAATCTTTACTCTGATGGTTTCATAAAATACACAATGGAGTAAAATATGTTCAATTGTTTCAACTTTCCCTGAACTGCATGGGCATAATCGCTGTGACAAAAAGTACCTTTTTATATCCGCCTTCTAACACTGCCGAAGGAAAGATGTTACATCTTGCCAGGGAGTATGCCCTGCGGTGAGAGGGGATCTCTAATAGCGATAAATACCTTGCGTGAGCAACTATATATTTTGTTACTTTTGAGGCCAAGAATGTCGATACTTTAACAATATCACTTTACCTCTCGGTGTCATATATTCTTTGTTTGACAATGGCCCTAGCTTGTTCTAGTGGCATTATCTGTAGTGACTCTGAGGAGAAACCAAGCAGCTGTATCTTATGGGGTACTGCCCAAAGTCAATCGGAACAACAGCATTCCCAGGAGTGAGAAAAGCTGCCCAGAGCATCCCCCCAGGCCCTGCTGCCAGGAGCCACAGTGACCCATTCGCAAAGGCTGACACTGTTGCAGCTGGAGGAGGGAGCGCCAGCCTCAGCAGCGAGGGGCAGCTGGGCCCAAGATAGGCAGCTGAAACCCTCTGGCTGAGGAGCCTCACCTCAGCAATGTCATCTGCTGGCACCACAAGAGCAGTGCTGGCCCCAAGAAGGCTTGCTGGTCATGTGATTGCCCAACCCCAGTGCTGGAACCCTTTCCACTCAGCCTGGACTAACCAAGTGGCTGATTCAGGTGGGGGCAGGGCTTGAGGGGGGTTAGAGAGTCAGGGTGGTGGTGGCAGAGAATGACAGACACTTGAGTGGAGGTTCCCTCCTGGTGGGTGGAGAGGGGAAAGATTGGAGTGGAAAGGTAGGTGATTGCAGAGGAGGCTTCAGGAACAGGTCGGGGAGCAAGCTGATGCCTAAACTAGGAAGCACCAAGGGTTGAGTCCACTGTCCAACTGGGAGCAGGAGGAACAAGGTGAAGCTGCCCACTCCCCCCCCCCATTCTGAGGCCTGAGGAAGCCTCCCTATGGGTGCAGTCAAGATGGCTGACCTTCAACAGGCATTGCCTCACAGATACCTTTGGGGGATGCCAGCCTCTGGGTGGGACCTGAGGTTCCCCGGAATCACAGTCCATCTCCAGACTACAGAGATCAGTTCCCCTGGAGAAAATGGATGCTTTTGAGGAGGGACTCCATGGCATTGTACCCCACTGAGGTGTCCCTGTCCTCCCCAGGCTCCAGCCCCAAATCTCTAGGTGTTTCCCAGCCTGGATCTGGCAGCCCTAGCCCCCCATCCCCCGCTGGTGGCCCAGGGGGACCTGGCAACCCAAGATACATTATATGTATTTTCAGACTTTACTGCTGAAAAGTACTGAGACTTACTAGCGATTTCAGCTCTCATACTTTTATTTAGTTTGGAACAAGACAACTAGAACCGGCTCACAGGGCAGTTTATATGTGCAACAATCCCACACCCAAAACACACCCACACACAAGTGATTGGTCATTATAGTGGCCGAGAGTTCCATGGGCTTTCGGCCGGGAACCTGGCCCTCCTATTGGTGCGGGCTAGGATCCACTTGGCCCATTGTTCCTGAGAGCGAAGCTCAGCCGCTTTGCCTGGCCGCGTGGCGACCTAGCCGCGCACGCGGTCAGAGATGGATACATTACAACTGCTGACTAGTGCTTCTCTACCATCTCTGATTTACTCTGAACATCTAGCCTGATAAAGCATTCTGGTAAACTAAAATGAGATTTTAGCTAGTCCTAATCAAAAGTTATTCTACTTTCCCTGGTTTTGGACTTTTCATATGGACCCACACATTATCATCTCTGTAGGATTGCCAGATCCTCCCTGGCCACCAGCGTGGGTGGGGTGGAGGGGACTGACCATGGCCCATTCTGCATCTAGCATTCAGTTTGCTGTTTTATCACCTTGGAACAGAAATTCCCCTCTACATTGCATGCTACTTTCTTTGATTGTTGGATTTTATGGTAGGGTCCACACTGCATGCTGGTTTCACTTCCTTTGATCGCTAGGTTTTATGGTACTGTCTGGATTTATGGCCATTCAGGGGTGACTGCAGTCAGTAGGGCCACTACCCCCTCCATATATAGGGGGTAGTGGTAGGGCACACCCCGGGTATTAGAATGTTCTTTTGAGCTGCATCTTTTTCTGTTTCAGTGTGGGTTTGGTAAAACAAAGGAGCGAATGCTAGATGCAGAATGGGCCCTAGTGTCTAGAGGGTCAGGGTGGTGTGGTGGCAAGCAGGGAGCTTGAAGACGTGGATTCAAATCCTCGCCATGCCATGCTCACTGAGTGACCTTAAGCTAGTTACTCTCTTTCTGCCTAACCTACCCAGTGTGAGGATAAAATGGAGAGGAGAACCATATAAGCCATCAAGTGCCCTTGGGAGGAAGGGTAGGATAAAAATGTAGTAGACAGCTAAATAGATTTTCTCCTCTACTACTCTCCCCTTACGCAGGGCCGGGGTATAAAGTTTTCCAACCGCACGCCGCCTTGTGCTGGCAAGCGTTTGGTGATATTTTCAGTCGAAAAAATTAAAACAATCCACTGGCGGGCGTCAGAGGACGCACTGAAATCAATGCTTCTTCCTCGCCAGAACTACAATTCCCATAAATCTTTAGCCTTAGGCATCATGAAAGGCGGGGCCTCTCTTCATTGGCTACCGGTGGGCAAGTGGAAACTAATTTCTCCCGCGCTTTCCTTCTTTGCTTTTTTTTTTTTTTGGATATGGCCGAATTTGATCCTGGTTCCTTGCCTGACCTGCTGCCACTCTATTATCGCCGCATCTTCCCCTTCGGCCCTTACGGCAGGTGGCTGCTCTATGGTGACGGTAAGATGTGGGGCTGGAATATTTGGGGTCCTGGTGGATGGGGAGGAAAGCAGAAGGAAACAGAAAGCCAACGGAACAATGTGCCGGGGGTTGGGGGAATGACATTGACGAGCTTAATTTTCACTTTCAGAGACAGTTTCCCGTATGGAGAGTACCTTTGAGCATATGCAGAGTAACTTTCGTTATTCAGTATTCAAGAATTAGAGGAAAGGCCTTTTGGGGCAGTGGTATGACACATACACTTTTAGGACTCAGTGGTTCTTCACCTATAATATCCTAGC